AGGACACACGAACATCATCTTCTTACAGCATACACAATACGCCGCAGCAGCGGAGGAACATCATCTTCTTACAGCATACACAATACGGCGCAGCAGTGGAGGACAAGCGAACATCACCTTCTTACAGCATACACGATACGACGTAGCAGCGGAGGACACACGAACATAATCTTTTTACAGCATACACAATACTACTGCTGCCTACGCAATACGGCGCAGCAGCGGAGGACAAGCAAACATCATCTTCTTACAGCATACACAATCCGACGCAGCAGTGGAGGACAAGCGACCATCACCTTCTTACAGCATACACAATACGACGCAGCAGTGGAGGACACACGAACATCATCTTCTTACAGCATACACAATACCACTGCTGCCTACACAATACGGCGCAGCAGCGGAGGACAAGCGAACATCATCTTCCTACAGCATACACAATACGACGCAGCAGTGGAAGAGACGGAAATATCACATTTTTACAGCATACACAATTTCAGCAACCTACCTGTCGTTCATACTGTACATCAACGGAGGAGATGAGAACATGGACACTCCGGTACATCTTCGAAGAACACGCACTTCACTAATTAACCTAAAACGCGTAAAATACGGCAGAGCAGCGGAAGGTTCGAATTTTTACCTCTACCTGAGTGCCTGTCCATAGACAAAATTAGACAAAAGTTACATTATTTCAACTACAATCCAACTTGTGTACAATACAGTAAAGTGACATTTACGATATGCAAACATAGGTGCACGGTACGGCATAGTAGAATTAGACACGCGAACTCCCAGATCATTGGGGGAAATTGTCAAACTTTACTGTGTTGAAGGTCAAATTATCGCTTTTAGGAATTGTTATGATGAGTATATGTAAAGTCCTAAATGTTGCTGAATAACGTTATATCATTTTGTGTCATAGCCATAGTTATGAAGCGAATTTTTACAGGCCAGGGTCACTGGATGTAATGCCAATATATTATGTACAGTTACATTGTACAACACCGCTGATACCTTAAAAATAAAGTCTGTGTTAAAAATTCTAGTGCTGACCTGGTGTAAGGTGACTTGGAGAAAATGTTTCTTCCAAGATTAAACAATCATTATTTCCCTTGAGTTGTAGCTTTGCATCCATATTCTACTATAAATCAAACAAAACAGGAACTTTCTCACTAAAAATAAGAAGTGTGCTTTTCAGCACCTTTTTTTCAAACAAATGAAAAACTGACAGTGCACTAAAAATATTTCATTCGTTCATTACGTTTTATTTTAAAATATGACTCTTTTGGGAAAAAAATATTATAGGTTTGTTCTCAATCTGATTGATCTCCTTAAATCTAATGATATAAGGGCAACTACGATAGTATATCAATTAAAAGAAATTTAGGCAGATGGAGCATGCTCTTACTCTCTCCTATGAAGTGAACGAACGATAACTTTCACAATAAATATGAAAATAATCTAAGTTACCTTTCTTGAATCTAGATTTCAACGAGATTTTTTTTTTTAAGATATCCAAAATTATTTATTTATGATTATATGGTTATTCAAATCATAACTACCATGTGTTTAATATAGAAATTAAAAAAAATAACAAAACAAAACAAAAAACAAAAAAACTTAATTCTTAATAACGTTTTGGGAGAAGGAACATTCGATCGCGTTTGTACTTTTCGAGTTTTCTGATTGTACGCTTTTAAAAAGCAAATGTAATATTATCAAAGTTATTGCTATAGGAAAAAAAAATCACGTAACAGTTATTACGATTCTCTTCAATTATTAACACTAGACGTGGTAGGCATAATAACATTCTATCACAACATCTTAGAATCTGCCCACATTGTTGTGCCCGGGTGATTTAATCAAACCTCTATTTATTTAATTTCCGTATTTAGCTGACCCAAAATTCATGAAGACGAGAAATGTTACAATGAATGTATTATTTTTTTTTCATTTTACGGTCATGCAGTTAATTTACAATGCAAACAATATTCTCAGGTGTATATTTAATTCCTTTTATTGAAACGGTGACAAAGAGAAGTTTTTATTTGTAATTTTACTTCAACTTTTTAAAAAAAAAATATTTTATTTTATTTTTTTAGGAAAGGGACATTAAAATTTGAATAATGTACACATTGCAACATATGTAAATATTTTAAATATTGCAATAATTATATTGTAAATATTATCAGAATATTACAATATAATCTAAATATTACAGTCTTAATAATGACTCATTACCTGTTTATGAGGTGCTGTCCCTCGGTACCCCGTGTTTACTCAATGTGATTGTCAACACGAAATATTTACCAAGTTATACTTTATTCTTTGTGATTTGTGCCTTTCCGGATCTTATTTAGACATTTATCTAAATTATATAGTGAAAAGCATTTTCAATGGACAAATTCCGCAATTAGTCAATTATTTCCATTTTGCCTTTTTGAGAAATGGATCGGACACTATGCTATATCTAAAACTTTCTTTTTGTCTATAGTGGCACACACACAAAACCTCAGTGAATCGCACTCTTAAGGCCCCCCATCTACATTTAAAAAAAGAATTTCAGAAAGATGGACTTTACAAATGTGTATGTATTATGCTCTAAAAAAAATAAGGTAAACATATTTACTTGGAATGTAATATTTTGTATTTTCTGTATAAAATTGAGGTCAACACTTTCGCAACATTCAAGTTGTTCCTTGTTTAATTAAGTTAAAGAATTTATTAAATTGTGCAGAAAAATACAGAAATAGCTATTAATGTTCATTTCAAACGGCATGTGTATGTTGTATTTTGGTTCAAAGTGGGCGACCATTTCGTCGTCATTATAGGACAATCAACAATATGTTAGTTTCTTGTTTACATTGGGCGTTTTAAGAAAATCAATTCATAAAAAAAATGAAATTCATTCACAGCATGCATCGTATCTAAACGAAGTTTTATAGTAAGCTAAAAACTGAGGTAGTCCGATCCTTAAATTCTGAAAATCAGCAATTAAGTAATTGATAATACTCACAAAAATGTCTCTGAATTCACAAAGTAATGTGTATTACCCAAGGTCAAAGTTCATCATGATAGTTAATCATATTATATAGAGAAAATTATCAAATCTCAAATTGCTGGAGATTCGGAATAAGCCATGCATACAAGTATATGCACGTACAATGTCGTGTATTCACGTGCGCATACAGGATTTCTTTTTTCTCCAACTTCATTAACATACTCAATTATTATCAAGAACACTTTATCGAGTAAAAAATGCAATACTGAAGATATTAATTAAAAATGTATAATTAAAAGATAATGGATATAGCGTTCTAGAACATAGACGAGTCGCGCCATTATAATTTCCGCGTTGTGTCATTCTAATACATAAAGGCCTCATTAGTAAAGAAGCCCTCCGAGCGAGCATCTGACAAACTGTCCTTCACGTATAAATTTAAAACTTTTTTCTTCGGTGACAGGAAATTGTATAGTCTTTATAAACATGTTGTTGACATTTTTCTCCGCGCGTCATAAGGATTCCAAATGTGTTTATATCAGGCTTTGCCAAAACACCAAGGACTGCGAAAGTGCAAGGCAACATCCTAAACAAAAGTCATGGTGCAGCGTTTTACATATTCAGCGGGGGACATGAGTCAGGATTCATAAAAATAATGTTAAATAAGTTAAATATGTAGTTGTATTCCTCGATTTATCCAAGTGCGATGGTTGTTGCATTTGGTAATAAGTTCTCTTTGGGAACTTATTGGCCCTGTCACTGATCCTATTTAAAAAAGAATTCGAATATGGAAAAATAACAATATAGCTATATATGTAAAGGGATTTAGTGATTTAGTGTTTGTGTTGTAATTAATTAATTAATTAGTTGATATGTGAAAGTCTTTTTATGCAGAATTCGTAATTATCGTATTTTCCTCTAAAGGGGGATTTTCTAAGGAGCAAAATCTTTACACTCAAGAAAGTTCATATGGAAATCAATAAAAAAAAAAAAACAATTCAGCAAAACAACTTGATTGAACAGATATTTTGATTTCTAGTGACAGTTATTATACAAATGTACCAGTTAGTATACCAAAACAGTACGTTATTGTTCCTTATTATAATATTCTCACGAAGTTTTTCAGTTTGATTGCCTCGGTCGACAAGAGCACTTCTGTATATAAACTGAAAAAATATACTCATTAAATCATTTTTTTTTTAAATGTGGTGATCATTCAAATTTTACATCTAACAGATATTTTATTCATGAGTTCATTAAAATGTAATTATATTTGAAGTGACAATTAGGTATTATATTACAACTTTCCTTCTGTCATCTTGTGCGACAACACTATAGCATTAAACGAATTCATCTTGCTTGTAAGCGACTTTAAAATCACATAAAAGCCCCTATAGTTTCTTACATGTTATATACGGTCAAATTTCTTCCGAAGTATAAGATTCATTGCCTTAAAAATATCGCCTTTCTTTTAATATTCCAAGATTGCTCCTGTATAACAATATACCTATCTTTGATAAGCAGGATATGTGAGTTTCTAAACCTTTGAAGACATTTTCTGGAAGTAGGATATTTCACATAATTTATACAGAGAGTATTTTTAATAGGCATGTTTTCTTCACACAGTTCAGCTTGTTTAATGAATTCATATTTCGAGCGTACAAGTATCATGTGTCTCAACACGAGTCTTGAAATCGCGCTATCGTCATAAGTGCAAGTTTGTGCAATATATATATATATATATATATATATATATATATATATATATATATATATATATATATATATATATATATATATATATATATATATATATAAAATTTACGAATAATTTCATTTTTTGTCGTAGAATTTTCATCGATTATACAGCAACTTTTTCAACCCATTTTGTTTTATTTGCAACACCAGAAGCTTTCAAGCAACCTGGTTCAGTGCGAGATGTATTTCGGGTAAACATGTGACTTGTAAAAGCATATGCAAATGGAAACAAATAATATGAGATTTCAGGACTATTTCATTCAATAAAAAATATTTATTTCATACAAATAATCATCTAAAATGACTAGTCAAATGTTATACCGATAACCAACACTAATCACATCAGATTCAAACATTGTTAAAGAAAGACGATTGTGCAATGTTTAATTGAGTGAATTTTCTACGGGGTGAATATCTACTTATATATATATTGTAGATTTCCAAAACTGAATCTGTACAATAGAATGCTGGTTTCCTGTGTGGTTTAGCAGCTATATTTGTCTTAGTTTGGTGCCATATTAACAGTGCATAATGAAACCATGAAAAAATTCATCCAAATATTGGACACGATGATATGTAGGGATTTGTCTTTCCACGTATTCCCTGGGAATTTTCACCTGTAGTGTTTGCAGAGAATTCTGTTGAGAATGCTCGAAATTATGAACCGGATGACTGAGTTCACACTTCGAACACACGCGAAACTGTTCACTACTCACATATCACAGATTCGTAGATTCACTTTGTTCGTTGATTAAGAAGGAACCAAATACTTTCAGGGGTATTTTATTGTTATTGTTCTCAATGTTTTGTAAATTTTTGTAACCGTGCACATCTGATCCGCCATCTTGATTTTTGGGGTTATTAGCGTCCTCTAAGGCGCGGATCATTTCTTTTAGGTTTTTATTTTCCTCCCGTAACACCTCAATGTCGGACAGCAGTTCGTCATTTTCCAGTTGAAGTGATGCATTAGATCGCTGCCTTTTTATTGACCTGATTTCGTCCTGAAAAATGTTTTTGTCTTCTTCCAGATCTACAAAAAAAAAACCCAGAGATTCATAGGTATACAAAATACACATAAAATTAAAGCCGTTTCTATTTCTAGTTTACAGGGAGGAAAATGCGGTGGACCAGACCAGGATTCATCCCCCCCCCCTTTGAGCTCAATAAGGTACTCTACAAAGTGAGCAATGTGACCACAGGCGAAAGAACAAGTCGAACCGCCACACCATAGAAATTTGAAGCTGAATTTTCCCATCTAATTAAAATCAGCCTTTGATGTTTGCTATACCACGTATAGTTTGATGTATAAAGGACATTAAAGGTTCTTTCTTTACTTACATATGTAGAATTTTAATGATGAAATCAATTATTTAAAAAAAATACGGCAGGACAAATATGCAACTTAAAAATAAGGATCGATACAATGTTATAGCAAACAGTAATTCACTACTAATTGACAAGTGATGTACAGATAAAAAGAAAATGATTTTAATTGCTGTGCCTGGGATATAATTTTAACTAAGATCATGTTTACTTTTCAGTGGTCTTTTATACAGCCCTTGGATTTAATGTATTCTATGTACTGCAATTAATGTGATGTGCTTTCGATTTACAGAATTTGTTAACTGCCTATCAGCAATAGTTTAAGCTTTAGATTTAAAATATAGGTATATTTGCTTTTCGTGAACACATAATGCAGATATGATTGCAATTTTTGTCTGCCACTTTTAAACAAAAAAGGAGATATATTTCGAACTAAGTCCGGGTGGTAAAATAATCAGGCTTTTGTTCAGAGATTTCAGTGTAAAATGATTTTGTTACCTTTGCATTTGAGCTCGAGTCTGATCACTTGGTTCTGAAGATCAGCTCTCTCTGCTTCAAGTTCCTCTTGAACTTCCTGTTGTTCAACTAAGTCATTCTCAAGCTGAACAATGCGCAAGCTCAAAACATCTACTGTGTCATTCAGACTTGACTGCAAAGAAATCTATATTTCAAATACAAACTATAGGCAACAGAAGTTTAGTAATTTGTTTGGAGACACATGGTAAGATGAGAATGGGTTTTTTAAAAGAAAAATCATACCATATCTTTCTTGATATGGGTCTTGTAATCCTCCATTTCATCAAGCCTCAGCTCAACACTCATTCGCCGCCTGTTCAGTCGCCATTTTTCCCGCCTTAGACAGCCAATCAGCGTCCTCGCCGACTCGAGACCGTCTTTCAATCTTCTGTACAGACGAACGTTAGTGCCGCTCTCTGCTTCCTGTGCACATTCTACTTCAACAGCCTAAAATAAATAAAAATTCCAATGAAAACGAATTAGAAACTATATTAAAGATTGACCTAAACACCACGTTTTTTTATTTCAAGTTCATCGATAGTGTGGATTTTCAGCAATTAACTGTCTGCATAATTTTACTTTCGTCACATTAATTAAATTGTCAATCAGCGACGTATTTTTGCTATATGTATTTCACATCAGAGCAAGTACTGCGTGAATTTCACAGGGTTTAATCAGTACATGTATTTATTACGATCAAGAGAATTTACGCGTCAACTTGTTTGTTTTCACACAACTGAAAGTCGACCATCAGTGAATATGCACTATCTATAGTCAAAGAAATTTTCGAGTTGAAAACCTCTCTTCTTGACAATAGGGCACTTGCCTCGTTATATTTATGGTCGATCTCTTCCAAAATATCGCCGAGACAGTCGAGCTTCTCGGCCAGGTCGTCAGCGGTGTCTAGCAGACCCTCACTGCTCTTCCTGCGCATCATCACACCACTACACCTCCGGGCCGACATCGAATGGCAGTAAAGCAAGATTCAACTGTTGAAGAAAAGTTCAAACTTTCTTGAAGTTTTGACAGCTTTTGAATGAAGCACTTTAATGATTTTCAATAAATACATTGAAATATTGACTCTTGACATTGGATCATGCTGGTTGAATAAACCATTCCCTACTGATCGACTTGAGAGAGGTCGGTACGATTTTCTTTGCTTTAGAATGGAGTCTATTTTTGTGAATTTATGGAGTCCAAATATTCAAAACTTAGCCCTATTTATTTTTTTTAGAAAGCTCTTCATGAACTCTCTGGGTATTTCTGTTGATTAAGATATAATATAAATCTGTTTGAGATATGCTATGAGAATTATCTTTATATCCAATGCATTAAAACAATCTTGACTTATATCTGAAATTGTTTTATAATTTTTACAAAATATGGAAATTTATTTCAACGTAAAAGACACATTTGCATTTCTAACCGCTTTTTTCGTCGTGGTGTCTGTCACATTTTAACATCATGTCATTATTGTCCCTGACATAGACTATTCTGTTTACTTATATTGTGATAGGCTAAAAGATTTTAATGTTAGAATTACTAGTATTTTTTTTTAACTGAAATGTTCATTAACCTTGGATGATCCCAAACAAGAACATTCATAGAGTTCACATTTGTATGTATTTCATGATAAATGGAAGCCGAGGCAATAAAAAATTGCAGCTTGAGACGTTTTTGTCCTTGCAAAGTCAGACAATCTCGAGAATCACTTAAAGCATTATATTTACTTAGCGCTTCATTCAAATGTTAGATTTGCAAACGACCTAATTTTTTTTTACCATTGTTAATCTTAAGTCGTTTAATTTCACATTTGATCTTCGAATTTGTTTCCATAATTAGAAAGGATTTTGACTTTACTACAAATGCATTACATAACATGCACTTAAATTAACTGTATGTATTTTTTTTAATTCGTGATAAGAATCGGAAGCAAGGTTACGTTTGACGTCAAGAGAGTAAAGCGATTATTATTTATGAATAATTTATACCTATGCAGAGACCTGGAGTTTTCTACTTAATTAGACACAATGTATCAACAAATCTGACACATATTTAGGGGGTAATAACCTAGTGAATCTAAGGTATTATTCCGCACACAAATGGATGGCGAAAATAAGTAACTTTGGGGGAGGAGGGGGGGGGGGTGAACGGGGTCGAACTCGGAATGATCCGCACAAGTTGATAAACATTAAATGTGTGAAGTGTGTATTTTTATACCTTTATTAATCAAGGTAAAAACAACAAAACACCAATTGACATTTCTCCATTAACATGTATAAGTGCTGGAGGCTGGATGTTCGGGATCTGTTTTACAAGCTATTTAGTGATCAAAGGCTTACGACAAGTGTGATGGCTGTCATCTAAAGAACAACGATCTTACTGTTAAAAAAATATATATGGTGCTGTCAAATTACAGAGACGTTATGGCATTGACAGTTCTCATTCAAACTTGAATTGATTTTCCATTACTTAGGTTTGATAATCTGAAATAATTTATTTTCATTAGAAAAACTCCTTTTGATAGAGCATGCGTCAATGTAAAAAAAAAAAAATCGAACAAATATTACAATTGTTCGTGATTATTTTATTCTCTTGTTGAGTGGCCATAAAGTTACTGTATAGAGAGAATTGTCCTATTAATAATGATTTAGCGAATTAAACATCTCCTTTTACCAGTTACGGTGTATTTTCACCTTTTTCCAGACTAATAAAGCGTATTATGATTAATATCTGTAATAAAACACGCCCTCGTGTCGCTCATTCGTAATGGTAATCAGTGTCCTGTACGCTTATTAAATACAGCAATACACTTATTTACTGAATCCAATCATATTTGCCGAAGCTTAATTTCAATAAAAAAAGAATAATTCTGACTGCTTGTGCAGTTTAATCAATGTAAAATATGTAAGTGTAATTAGCTGTAGCACTACAAAACAGGGTGTAAATTCCATGTCCACAAATGTAAAAAAATAAATAAATAAATAATAATAAAAAAATAATAAATTTTTTTAAAAACCCACTTATTTGGAAATTCTGAAAGGAAAAAAAAAAACAAACAACATTCCTTTTAGTGAGTCAACTCATGTACGGTTTGTTCCAGAATTTACATATTGGTCACAAGTTTACCCCTTTTTCCACCCAATGTTTAGGTTTCTTATCTTTATAAGCAAAATTTTGTGCAACATTTCTTTCCTAGTTAGGAGGGTTTAACTTTAATGAATGGATGTGTAACGTGTTTGCTTCGCTGTAAAACTTAATGTCTTCTCTTTTATTCTTTTTTATAAAGGTGAAGTAATTTAGAAAATGAAAGTTAGACAAGTGCATAAATGGGGGAAAAATGATACCAAGCAGACCCAAAAAGATACTCGTTAAAACGTACCGAATGCCGTGTGTGCATTTAACATCTATGGTAGATGTTGATCAAACAGAACATAAGCACAAAGATAATTAGTTATTGATTTTATAAAATATTTATAATTTACCGTCGGGAAATTCTTCACAATCCAATTCTATATAGTAAAGAAATATTTATATAAAAATGTCGAGTTTCAACCTTAATGATTCGTCAAGGTTTGAAAAATTGACGAAAAGTATATAAAAAGTGATATCAAAAGTCAAAACTGCTGTGAAAAATTAACGAGGCAATAGTGGAAATGATATCAATTCAAAAAAAGATTAGTAAGTTAATTAATTAATATATGAAAAGCATTACAAAACTTGATGACCACAACCAAAAAATTAATGTATCACCTGCGGAGGGAGAAAAATTAAAACACCTTACCTGAGCTGGAGGTCGTCTATCAGTGAGAACAGACGGAAGTCTTCTACACTATGTCGGCACGGCCGTCATGCTTCATCGATTACTAAAAAACGATAATTCTCTTACGCAGGTGCGATATAAATAAGAGGCCATGCGTATCGTTATGACAGTAACCAATCCGTCAACGTCATATTTTGAGATGTTTTAGAGAACATAAGAGGAAAATGACAGACTATTTACCTATCTTGCATCAAAATATATATTTTTGCAGGTAATTGAGAGCATTACCGCCTTCTAGAAGTTTATCGATTTATAATTAATTTTTAAATGCAAATCATCAAACTGCAAAACAACCATGTGTGTAAAATACCTGTAAAAGAAGATGATAATTGTGTTTTATTTTTAATAAGAGTGAGGAGCATTGATAGAGATGCGTGGGTTAAATGAAGGTCTCTAAAAGACATGACGTTGTACTGTGATTAGCTGAGATTGAACAAACAACTTTGAACTTTATGCTCACATTATCTTGAAAATAACAGTTCACGAATTATGAAGAAAAAAACATTGCTTTTTGTCTCAGAGTTCATTTTCAATTTTTATTTTGCATTTGATTGATTGATTGATTGTATACTGTTTTACGCCCCATTTGAGATTTTTTTCACTCATATAGAGACGTCAACATATACCGGTGAAGTGCTTTACTTGGCACTCAGCATCGAGCAGTGAGGGTACTTTATCTTGCCAACGCCTGCCAAGACACGGGGCCTCGGCTTTTAAGGTCTCATCCGAGGGACCGATACAGTTCACTCCAAAGTACACCGAGCGCTTGGCGAAGGAACAGTTGCTACCTATTTTATCGACTTAAGTCGCGGCCGGGGTTCGAACCCATGACCGTCCGATCATGGAACAGGCGTTATACCGACTGAGCTACGGTGACGTTTTTTTTATGCATTTGAAGTTCAGTTCAAAATTATAATCAAAAGACAAATAGAAACTTAGAATTTGTTACCTTTGTGATACTTAGAAGATATTTAGATACACAATATAAACTGAAAGTTGCAGGAGCATACCGTTAATATAATCGTTTTTAGTTTAGGTTACTATAGTTTCAAAATCAGCATTTAAATCACCATCTTTTGCCCTTGGATACAGAGATATATCTTTTTTTAAGATGTTAATAAAACATCTAATTGAATGCAGAAGCAAGTCTGAAAACTCTAAGGAACGTACGTGATATGAAGAATATTTCTTACACCCTTTTCACCAATAAGGGCGAGATTTGATTACACCTGAACGAGTATATAAGTACTTTAACAAGAGGCCCAAGGGCCTTTACGGTCGTCTGAGTAATACTACAACCCTGAAAAGATTCTATGGAATGGTAAAATTATATTATAACCAAAAAAGTGAAAGAAAGAGGATGAACAAGACTCTACAAAATTGTTAATCTGGTAATCAGGAACACCTTAGAGGCTTGCCTGTATATGCCAGTACCACATTTATACTTTCACTATCACCAACATCACAATAGTCCATTTACATAATTCACAATGTTCACAGACTACCAATTCAACGATGGCCTCTCTTGGTCCTCGAAAAATATATTATGTACATATACGAGTATATAACATATTTTGTCTCATTTTATTCATCTATGATTTACATACAGTATATCTACATGGCTATTAAAAGTCTAGATCTGAAAGTATTCTTATATATTACAGTAAAAAAATCTTGTATAATTCTTTTAATTAACCTATCAATTACATTATTTACATTGATTTAATATCATAAGTAGATAACAAAGGGGAAGAATTTCTCTCAAACAGAGCATAAATCATAATAGAATACCACACTAAAACCGGGCCCCTTGTCTCATGGGTCACATCGTCAGACACCCACAGTTGATCTCGTCTTTTACTTATTATCCATGGGCAAACTCGCTGAAATATCATCGTTTATTTTTGCAAAGTTGTCCATTATAGACAACCAATCAGAAAGTTGGAATTATTCAATTTTGAAAATACGTTAACTTCATTAGTTTGCTATTCATGCTAATGTCGTGACGCCGTTAAAACATGAAATTTTAAAATGATAAAGACAAGTCGTACATGGTGAATGGATTTGTTTGCAACCGGTTTGTTATTGCCGAACACACGTATATAACGTAAACTGTGATTCGTTGATATGCCATCACGATTATGTGCAGCAGCCAATCAAATGACCTGAGCATTTTAATTACATACGACGATATATCAGCGAGTTTGCCCACTGGTGATAAGTGAAAGACGAGATTGCCCGTGGGTATCCGACGATGCAGGGGACACGAATTTCACAACTTTGAAAGAAGAAGAAGCACTATTTTTCATCATAGCCATGCACTAAGATTCTATGTAGAGCAGAAGATTTTTCAAAGAATTAATGCATTTTCACTATGTGATCAAAGGAACCCCGCCCTAACTCCAGAACCCCTGACCAAAGGGCAATTAATTTCACAACTTTTGAAGAAACACTAACTAGTACTCTTGCTTATAATACCTAGGTACTTGTAGCATGTTTGGTAAATACTCATAAGCATTGAAGAAGATTTTCAAGGAATTAACGGTATTTTACTACATTATCAATGGAGCCCCACACTAAGTCCAAAACCCTAACACAGGGGCAATGATTTTCACAATTTTTGAAGAAGTATTCTTGCTCATAATACGTTAAAAGTAACCATGCGCTTAGCTTGATTTCTAAATTTCCAGGAGCAAAATATCCAGGGTCTAAGACCCAAGAGCTATAAATTTCACAATTTCGTAAGAAGCATTCTTGCTCATTAAAAGCATGCACTTAGTTTGTGTTGTTCATATTTTCAAGGAATTAATGCATTTTCACTATATTACCAATTTAGGCCAGTCGCCCAGCAGTGGTTAGAGCAATTGCTCTAAAGTCGCGGAGTAAGGAGTTGTTCCTTACAAATCCCACTGCGGGACGTGGAGACTGGTCCTTCGGATGAGACCGTATAAATCGAGGTCCCGTTTCGCAGTAGGTGCTGGTACCAAAAAGACCCCTCACTGCCAGAAGGCCGTAAGTGCTGAGTACAGGTATGAATTTACAGCCCTCCGCCGGCAAATGGTGGCGTCTCAATATGAGTGAAAAATTCTTTAGGGAACGTTTAGTAAACATACATACAAACAAACTTGAAAGGGACATGGATACAGTTTATGTCCTTCGAAAGAATGGAAGCGTACATAGCGAGGACATTCCCCATCTCTGAAAAAAAAGACATTTCTCAATTCTTAAAGTTCAGGAAAAGTTATACATTTTTCAAAATGTGTATTGTCAATATCCTCTTTTACAAATTTGCTTACTTTATTGAATAGTTTATCATATTGATAAACAATAATTTATTTTCACGTTTTTATGGTATGTGAAAGAAAAAAAAAAAGCTTCACACATGATTCGAACTCTCTCCAATTCTACGCCACGAAGTCTTGTTATCAATGGTGCTTGTCAGTCTGATTTAAACAAACGAGTTTGTTGAAGCGTAATTTTTTTCTCCAGAAATGTTCGATTTTTACCTAGAATGGGTTCCGATTCCATTTTTGAAACATAACCTAGATTTTACATTTACTTTTCCGTCATATAAACGTTAATGTAGAACGGAGACTTGACCCATTCACATTCAGAAATCATTTTTTATGGCTCAAATAACCTCATTTTTTTTTATTAAATATGTTATACTGGCAAATTTACAAAAACAAATTATCAACCAAATAAGTTATTCAATGGAAAAAAATGAATCAATTTATTGAAGACACCAATACTAAAACATAATTTTATAAAAATTTAACTTTTCCTTGAACTTTGAAAATTGATAAAAATATTGTCACAGAGAGGAGGGGGATTGTTTTCGTCTTGTACGCCCTACTTCTTCGGTAGAATTGACTGACTTGCTATATTGCCCTAGCTGTAGAACTGTAGTTCGTTGGTCTGAAAAATAAAGGGGTTGACCACCAGAGAGCTACAGTGCAAGAGGCCCAAGGGCCTTAACGGTCACCTGAGTATAATACAACAATGTAAAGGATCCATAAAAGTATAAAACAAAATTAACTGATAGTTGAAACTGATAGTTGCCCGAGAATTTCAAAAATCTGATTGATCTCCATGGGATCCTACTTGGTTTTCCCAAGTCTTACAGGGATGATGATGAATGCAAAACATACAATTTCAATGGACACTTGCCTAGTGTTTAAGGTATTCAATATATACAGAGATGTTTGTGTCACAATTAAGTACATAAAGAGAGACCTGGCTATACAGTTTGGCTATTTGCCACTAACTACATGTCTCATAGTCACCTTGGCTCTCTGTGATCACTTTAATAAAGTATAAAACAACTTTATGCAGTCTCTTGCCAACAAATTTCTTATCTCCATGACTTTACCTTACAATAAATCACCAATTGACAAACGGGGCACCTCAGTGTATACGCACAGTGCACAAATGGCCCTTTTGCTACATAAATTTTATCAAAAATTTTTGAAATCGATATAACGAATTGTCTAATTTGCTATAACGAATTTAATTCGTTATAACAGTTTCTTTGAATGCGTTACAATGAATTTAATCTGTTATAACAAATTTGCGAATTCGTTATGACGAATTTATGACGAATTAAATTCATGTTAACAAATTCAGCAATCAGGGCCTATAGAAATATATAATATAAATGAATTCGATGTAACGATTTGTCGAATTCGTTTTAACGAAGTTAATTCGTTATAACAAATTAAAGAATTCGTTTTATCGAATTTAAGTTGTTATAATAAGTTATAACGAATTTAATTCCTTATCACAATTTTTTCAATTCGTCATAATGAATTCGACAAATTTGTTAAAACAGATTAAATTCATTATAACACATTCTAAGAAACTGTTACAATAAATTAAATTCGTTATAGCAAATTCGACGATTCGTTATATCGAATTTGAAAATATATTTTGATAGGTCCTAAATGGGATTCCGTACATTATAACGAATTTATAAAATCTGTAATAACAAATTCGATTCATTCAAACGAATACTAAAATTGTTATAACT